ATTTTGCCATCAAACAGACATATTAGGTCTGTTTGATGGCAAAATATATATCATTCCATGCACATGATGTGACAAAAAGAACAGCTGGGCCTAACAAAACCTTAATCAAAGACTGACCATGGGGATCAGGTATCATTGCTAAATCTTTTACTTTAAAGGGAAGCAATCTTGATGCTCAAAAAAGGCATTTGCTATAGAATACTAAATCCAATTTCATATTCACTAAATCCACATACATTTCAAACTTTAACCTGACAACTATACAAATGTCATACTCACTATTTCTTAACAGTCTTCTTTCCTTGAAAAGTCTTACATCAAAGATAAAATGACCAATTAATCCAACATACACAAACTTTATCAAAATACTCAATACACATTTTCTGTATGTTCTATTTAATAGAACATATTTGAATGAAGGATTGCTACCTAAATATATAATGTTTAAATAAAATATGCAAATGTTACCAGTACCAAGATTGAACATTGGTCCTGTCAATATATGAAAGCATAAACACCCTCCTCAAAGAATGTGGTGTCAAGCAACAATGTGATCTGTATAGAACAACTTGCTGGATAAATGACATTTGAGACACCCGAACATAATAATCTGAAGGAGCCAAATCAGACAGAGTAAAACGTTTAAAGTTAAATTGCTGAAGCGACTCTTATCAGATTGTCCATATGTGGGGCATACTCCGGTCAATTACTTTGGAATGCAATGAAATAACACTTACCAATATACTAACATTTCATGGACCACAAACTTTGAAGATCAAATTCCACAACCATATTACAAAGTTTGCACTATCTTGAATCAAAGCTTCAACATGCAGTGTTGTCTCTTGTTGATGAATATGGATGCTATACACAAGGTTCATCCTGCAGATTTATTCAGCACTTTGTGAATGCACTATAATAGACCAATATTTGCTTCAGGCTCATTATATATTTGCTATACACAGCAATAAGTTCAGTGTATTTCTGTTGATATGTAAAAATCTTATCACACCTCACATCTGTTTGTCTACCATTTTATAGTGACACTAACAGTCATTTTTGTTGTGAGGTCATATAAGTATGTGCTTAAGGCTGTTACAATAAGTATTACATGCATGTAATTTACTTTCTGGACGCCATACATGTATGCATGGAAATGCAAAAAACTTCTTGGATAAACAAAAAAGGATTCAAAAACAAATTCTGATGTTCAGACATATTTTGGAAAGTGCATAAAGAACTTTTTAACAGATATTTGTGTATATACACTTCATTTTACATTATTAGTTACTTCCTGTTTTATTAATATATAAAATAAATTCTTATTTCAACATAAAGGTTTATTTGCTAAATGACTGCAGCAACTACCCACATAGAATGAAAATCAGTTCATTCTGCACCGATGCAAACAAATAGGAATCATTTGGATGAAAGTCCTAAATTTCAAGATCTTAAATTAATAGCCACATTTCAATTTTAAAACTTTAAAATGAGTTCTAAGGCTGTGAAGGTTTTTGAGAATCCTAAACAAATTGTGCCCTCATCTTGAGATCTTATATAAATTTCATCTTTGTCAAATCTTTCAAATTATTAGATGTGGCAACAAAGAATGTCAAAAATTACAAAATGTAAGGTACTAAATCAAGTAGTAAAACATGTGAAATTTATCACTACACCCACTACTAAACTACTTTTAAATGATAGCCATAAGTAAAATGAAATAAAATAGGCCACAGAATACATGAAGACCACTTTTTCACTGGTACTTGTTACTACTCTTTATAAGACAGATGGAAGGAGAAAAGGTGGATAGTCATTAACAGAAACTGACCTCAGTTGAAAACATTAAAAACATGGATACGGTATAAAGTTTTGTGGATGACACTTTTCAATTTTTTGTTTAAAAAAAATTTATCATTTAGTAAACTTTGCACACATTCTGTAATTTTATGGAACTTTGGCTCATTTTGCTGATCTGTCACTCCCTGACCCAGCACTACCAAAAATGTAGTATTCTTGAAATTGTCACTTGGCAGTGTTTTTGATCTTCATCACGTGTACATGTCAGCAAACTGTGAGGTAATGAGATTCTATGGGCGTTTCATCCAATTGTCGTTGAGATTCCACCGAGATGTGAAAAGTCCATGGCTGTGGTAAGTTCTTTGTCTCTGCTGAAAACTGATTTCACAAAACAAATGAACAAATTGTTGATAACAATAGATTTAACAAAAAGAAATTGAGAATTTGAACTGCATAAGGAGTGAAGAATTATTAATCTTTCTATGTAGCCTGATTGATGATTTTTTTGCAAAGAAAATTATTCTAGCAGTAATCATACTTATTATAAAACCCAGGTTGTGTGTGTGTGTGTGTGTGTGTGTGTGTGTTCATTTATATATTAGATCGGATTTCCTACATTTTTCAACCGATTTCAACAAAACTTCACAGGACTACATAAAATTACCTTGCGGTAGTTCTGACAGCACCAAAAACTGGAAAAACAATTGTTTTTGCACAAAATCAATTTGAAAACACGATTAAGTCACCAGAATGAAAGGGGGACAACTCATATTGAGTTATACTTATTATAAAACCCAGGTTGGTTGTGTGTTCATTTATATATGGGATCAGATTTCCTACATTTTTCAACCAGTTTCAACAAAACTTCACTTTTTTTTTTGGCTGGTAGTGTTTCTTATTGCCTTGCACACTTTTTTTCTTTATTTTTACACTCAGAATGCTTTAAAAATTCCATTTACAAGACAATTGTTTATAATAAAATTCTATTCAATTGGTAGACTCATAACGATTAAAAACAATGTTTTTGTTTGAGTTTGACCAATTCGTAAAAAAAAAAAAAAAAAACTAATTAAGACATGCGCGTACATCAACCTTAAACAATAATCTTTGTCAATTTTATTTTTCAGTCTTTATGATGGTCGATACTTGATCTATCTCTTACTGTTACATCCCTGGGCAACACCGGGCTCTACTGTTAGTTCATAATAAATTAAGAGACCTCAATCCTGGCACTGTATTCTTCTCTATCTAGGTTTGAACCCATGTGTTTATTAATGGAATAAGCAGCAGCAGGAGGAAGAGTGATTTATGAAGAACCTCTGCTACTTTATCATCTCTTCTATATTTCTATAGATGGATAGATGTCTGTCTGATAGTCTCTTGCCCATCTCATTTATATAAGGTAGCTTAAGGCACCTTGGTGTGGTGTAATGGTCAGCAAGCTTGTCTCACTAAAACAATTACGACTAAGTAGTGAGTTCGATCCTCACTAGGTGCCCCATACTTTCAGCCATGTGCCACATCTAAGCTACACTTAGAAAATCACTATATAAAAGGTAGTTTGTGCCTTTTGATAAGATGTCCATGATCTTTTGTTCAGTAAAAGATGACCCTTTTAGAAATGCACTCAGGCTAAAATGCTGGTCTGAATTTTGGTAACAACATGAATATTTGAGGATGAATAGTATTTTATATAAACATAAAACGTCTTTAAAATTTAAAAACTATTTCTCAAATGTGATCAAGAATTGCAGAAGCTTTCTGAAATATCTGTTATAACAATAAATTATCCGTTGGAATTACAAGTTTTTATTCTTTCTTATTCAACTTCACCAATGGAATCAAGCATTTTTACAAAAAAAAGTTCTTTGGAATTAGAGAAATTTTAGAAGACCATAAATCTTTTCATACTGCCCTGGAGGCAACAGGGCAGGTTAGGGATGATATGGTCTTACTAAATGTTAATGAATTCTACTTGGCTTATTTCAGGTTCGAATCTTCTAAAAGCCTTTCTCCAAACTCATTTCATGGCTTCTAATTATTATTTTTAATCTGTTCTTTCTCTATTCTCCTTGCCACTTAATTAGTTTTGCCAAGATTTTTTTTCTGCTTAATCTTAATTTCCTGCTTCAAATCATCATTAGGCATTCTCAGGCAGTAAAATTATTATATCCCTTCATGCACTTAAATGTTGAATATTAGTTACCACCGATGTATTTCAAATTACAGCATGATCTTCCATTGGGACTTCAGTAACATAGCCTAATTATATGAAATTTGAAAAATTTGGTAAAATCATAAATCTGTTGTCACATCATAAAAACAATGTTTATTATAATTTAGTACAATTAATAATTATAAAAAAATTACTATGCATGAGGTATACTTAAAGCAATAATTATCTAGGATTTATTTTTTCCTTTTCTTTGGCAAGCCATGCACAGGACACAAACTTTTTTTTTTTGATGTAGGTGATTTTCCTCGTTTGCCACATGATTGTACCATATGGATAATTTTGCTCTTCACTGTATATATATCTTTATAAACACATTTTCGGCCGTTGTACGCTTCAGCCTTCTTCAGGTGGTTGGAATGTTGAACTGAACCCTTTACTGGGGTAGACAGTTCTGTTAAACATGGCACGTGGAACTAGAACAGTCTACCCTAGTGAGCGAAATAAAGGGTTCGGTTCAACATTCCAACCACCTGAAAAAGGCCAGAGCATACAACAGCTGAAACGTAGTAATAATTATGGCAACAAAATTGAAGATAATAGTCCGAATAATGTAAATAGTGTACATAATACCTCATCCCAGAAATATAGACAGATACTGAAGAGCCGAAACGTTGTAATAAATATGGCAACAAAGATGAGGACAATAGTCCGAATAATGTAAATAGTGTACATAATACCTCAACTCAGAAATATAGACAGATAGTTTTATAAATTCATAACCAGAATACTATTAGCTGAAGTCTGATCTAAAAATCATGCTGTACAATTTTCTATTTATATGATCAACAGAGAACTTTTGGGTTGAATGATTTGACAAGAAGGCTATATTGAAAGACATTTGTTGAATAAAATGTTTCTTTCATCATTAGACGTTGTGCGTGTAAAATCAAGCATGTGCTATGAAAGTAGTCAGTCAACCTTTTTAGAAAGTAATTGTCAGATAAACATGAGTGTAAAAAAATATTTAAAAGTATTTTGAAAATAAAATTAGGTAATTTGAGAGAGAGAATGAGTGAGTGAGAGAGAATGAGTGAGAGAGAGAGAATGAGTGAGAGAGAGAGAATGAGTGAGAGAGAATGAGAGAGAGAGAGAGAATGAGTGAGAGAGAGAGAATGAGTGAGAGAGAGAAATGAGTGAGAGAGAGAGAATGAGGAGAGAGAGAGAATGAGAGAGAGAGAATGAGAGAGAGAGAATGAGGAGAGAGAGAGAATGAGAGAGAATGAGTGAGAGAGAGAGAATGAGTGAGAGAGAATGAGTGAGAGAGAATGAGTGAGAGAGAGAGAATGAGTGAGAGAGAATGAGTGAGAGAAATGAGAGAGAGAATGAGTGAGAGAGAATGAGTGAGAGAGAATGAGAGAGAGAGAACAGAGAGAGAGAGAGAATGAGAGAGAGAATATGAGGAGAGAGAATGAGAGAGAGAATGAGTGAGAGAGAATGAGTGAGAGAGAATGAGTGAGAGAGAATGAGTGAGAGAGAATGAGAGAGAGAGAATGAGAGAGAGAGAATGAGAGAGAGAGAATGAGAGAGAGAGAATGAGAGAGAGAGAATGAGAGAGAGAATGAGAGAGAGAGAGTGAGAGAGAGAGAGAGAGAGAGTGAGAGAGAGAGAGAGAGAGAGAGAGAGAGAGAGAGAGAGAGAGAGAGAGAGTGAGAGAGAGAGAGAGAGTGAGAGAGAGAGATTTATAAAAATTTAACTCAGGTTTTTATATGAAGAAAAAAAATGACAGTGAAGGTAGAATTTTTACTACTCTTATGGTACATTAATAATAGCTATAATCTATATGTTGTTAATGTTGAAATACACTCTAAAATAAAAAATAACCATTTACAGAATTAAACACTGGGTTCAGTGCATTAAGTTAGAAATATACAAGGAAATGGAAATATTTATTTTGTATATTTAATAATTAACTTTTATAATTTTATGCACTTTTAATTTTGGGTGACAGAATTAATTTCAACTTCACCAACTGCAACGTGAATGAGTCTAAACTTTTATTGTCAATAACTTCAAAACAGTAGATTTTATCAAAATTTCTTTGTTATTTTCAAATTAAGCATGTACATTTACACCTAAATGAAAGTATTCAGGAATTTATTAGAAACCGAATGTGGGGCTTGAACTGCAAATTATCCTCAAGTTGAAATTAGTTCTGTCACCTTTAATTTTAATATTATACTTTTATATTTCATTTCAATCATTTCCACTCAATCAAGGTGAAAAAAGGCACAAGGGTTTTATTGAGATTGAATGAAACTGAGAAAATGTTTAATGAGAAAAACAATATAAAGGACATGATTCAAGGAGACAGAAGATGACAACTGACATTGAAATTAAATTATTGAAGATCGTGGTTGACACGAAAGCAAGAAAATAGAAGAGAGTTCCATAGGTGAGAAGTGTGAGCAAAGAAACTATAAGAATAGAACCTACAGTTAACATCTAGCAATTTCAGCAGTAAAATTATGAGACTTAGCTGGCAACCTAGTATTAGGCTTAAATTTGTCACGTTGAGGTACTAAAAAAAAAAAAAAAAAAAAAAAGGAAAGCTCATCAGAACAAAATATTTATAGAAAATGCACAAGGAAGCAAAGTTATGGTGGTGAGAAAGGTGATTGAAACTGAGATACCAGGTCAGAACCAATAACATTGCAGATTCTTCTTTGGATTTTGTCAAGAATCTCCAGATGCATATCAGAAGCACCAGCATTCAATACATGGACAAATGGTAGAATTACAAGTGTACAAGACAGATTATGGCAAGAAAAATTGTCTTTTTGAGTAAGTTCACATTTACTTATCTCTCAGTTGCGTGTGTCTTTGGACAGAGTGTGCACAGGGGCTTCTCTGTCAAAGGACAGAGGGGCAACTGAGAAAATTATACTGAGAAATGCCCAGCCCTGGGAAACAGCTGCCCAAGGCCGCACCCACCCTTTGTTGCAGAGGGAGGGATTGGTGCTCGCACCAAGGCCAGCACAACCAATGGTTGCGCGGGCTGAGGGGAATTTTTGTTCCTGTCCCAGGTGTATGTACTCGGGTCCCCATCTAAAAATAGACCTTGTGTCACATCTCATCCAAGTGTGGGGACAGAGTAAATACAGCATGATATAGTGAACCAACCTTCTTAGCAACAGATTTTGCAATTGACTTGATAAAATGAATAAAATGAGAGCATGCTGAAAGTTCTCAACCTGACCAAGATTTGAAAAAAAAAAAAAATTCTCATTTTTCATGCTTTGAAGAGTGGGTTGGGTTGGTGTGTATTATATCTCACTCACACACATTCTGATATAAATATGTTCGGGCTTACTATTATTATCTATAGACTTAACCCCCTTCATGCCATTAGTTTTCATATTGTGTTTTGTTAGCCATAATATAACATGGGATTGATAGAGTGGTTTCCTGTTGCCTTCTCCACAGTGATTTATGGAGACACCATCTCCATTTTTTTTTGTTTTTTTTTTTAAGCATTTCACCCCTAGCAAGGCGGGAAGCCACTAGCACACAAGGGGTTACAGAGGATTTGGAGCAGGAGCAGATAGGAATGATAGAGGAAAGGATGAGAAGAAGGATAGTGGATAGATCAAGGCAACTGGAGATGTTCATTGACATTACATTTGAAAAGTTGGAGATTATAGCTATCAGGGAAACAGGAAGGGAGTTCCACAGGCAAGAGGTGCGAGGTATGAAGCTATTGGAGTAGAAGAGGCGGCTACATTTAACAGTTTCAACAGTGAAAGGGTGAGAGCGGAATGCCAGCCTCATAGGACTCTTGAATTCGCAAAGTCTGAGAACCAGTGAAAGCAGCTCTTTGGAGCAATTACCATGAAAGTATTTGTAAAAAAGACAGAGAAAGGCGACAGCGCATCTGTGACTGCAGACGAGATACCAGATTGGGGCCAATTATATTGCATATCCGTCTCTGGATCTTATCAAGAACCCTGAGGCAAACAGTAGGGGCTCCAGACCATACATGGCAGCAATACTCCATGCAAGGGCGAATGGTTGATTTGTAAATTTAAAGGATCGATTTTGGGGAGAAAAATTTCCTGGTGCGGCACAAGGAGCCAACTTTCCTTGCGGTGGACGAAGCAATTGACTCAATGTATTTGTTCCATCTCAGGTCAGTAGATAAGGTGAGACCGAGCAGCCACAGAGAGGTGCTCTCGGGTTAGCTGGCCATTGACTCAGAGAGAGTTCTAAAGGAGGGTCTGAAGAATTTGATACTCACAGGTCAAATAGAGGGAAAAAAGAAGGGAAAACAACGCATGACATAACTGATGGACTTATAGCAAGTGGATGACAAAATATGGTCTGGGGGAGTTGGCAGAGGCACAAAACTTATTGAGCGCTACAAGGTATAGGGAAAAGTGGAGAGATATGATCACCTACATCCTGACAGGACACGGCACATAAAAAAATTATTATCAATTTGATAACCTGAAATGTGTACTCTAAACAAAGATACCTATATAGTTATCTCTTGCCCTTCAAAGGACTCCAGAAATATTTCATTACATATTTCCCAAATTTGTTGCATCTGTAATAGAGACCATAAATCTATAAAGATACAAATAAGAAATTATTTTATCTGACCAACAAAATCATTTATATTTTTTATATTTTAATTGATTGAATATTAATACAAATATATTTTATATCATAAACAAACAGTTTATATATTGCATAGCATAAACAAATTAGTTAAAAGAAATTAAAGAATAAGTTATTTCTAAGATTACAATCAGCTGTTGGTCAAGATAGGGAAAATTATTAACATTTTACCAGAAAACAATCAAGTCACTATCATTCCATTATGACCATATGGTAATAATCATATTACCATATGGTAATAAATGGGAAATCACAGCAGTCGACATAATATTTACGATTAGTGTTTTAACACCATTTTTTCTGGTGAAAAACACATTGATTTGGAATTTCTTGCAAAAATCAAATAATTGTTGGATGTTAATGAAACTTTTAGGACTTATTCACAAATGAATGAAATTATTTTTTAAAGTTATTTTTTTTTCTTTTTTACATATGTTACCACCCACTAACTTAAGTTCATGAAATTTCAAGAAATTAAATTCTCATCTGAAAATTTTTTTATTAGTTAAAAGCAGAACTCCTTGGAGAATGTAAATCAATTTTTTTTTATTTCTTTCAAACTACTAATCATTTCCCCAAAATCTGCTCCGAATCATAAAATAGATGCAATAAAACTATGACATTATTTAATTAGAAAAGCTTTTAATTGATTTTATAAATAACATTTATTAAAGACACTATTGTCTTAAGAAAAAAAAATTATTTTTTTTGATAAATAATGGATATTTACAAGAATTTTTTCAATTTTTTTTTTAAATTTTAAATATAATAATTCATAATATAAATCTTTTAAAATTCTGCATTACTTTAATCTGGTTAGGTGATATTGTTATTAAGTGAAAACTATATTTAATTTTTTTTATGTAAATAAAATATTGCCCATTGTAAATAAAAATGTACCCATTTTTGAAAGTTTAGTCAACCATACATGACATCATCAGAAAATAAGAGCAAGGACTATGATAAATTTAAAGTCAATATTTCTAAAATTAGATTACAGAGAATATTTTCAAACATTTTCAAGATTACTGAGTACTTGAAAATATTTTAAAAAAAGGCACTAACATCATTTTCTTAAATTATGTTTTACAGATAAATTCTCCATAGAACAACAATCATTATGTAATAATAAGCGATCAATGCCTCGTCAACTATATAAAACATGTCAATGTCAGTTAAAATCACAGCTACAGTTTTATTTTAAAACTACTTTTCTGTGTTATTTTATACTAAATAATTTTTTTTTTTCAAATCAGATTAATTATACTTTAAATCAGCTATTATTCCTCAAATAAAGTTTCAGAAAAGTATATTTTACTTTTGGAAGATATTTTAATACAGAGAATTACATTGTGATGAAAGATGGCTAAAAAAAAAAAAGTGCTAATTAAAGTGCTATTTTAGAAAAACATTTTTAAAAATTGATTCCAGTCAATGTAATTTCTGTTTGAAATACACCAGGGTATTTTGTTTACTGAAAATAGTAAATTTAATCCTTTAACTTTCAATTAAAGCTTAAATGAAAGCTTCAAGAGAGATTTTTCATTTATAAAAATTCATTTTAAACCAAGGTATCGAAAATTAGTGGGGGTACCTACAAAACTGAATGTTTTGTTCACTAAGATCCCATCAATTTTCATCAAAATTAAATTAGGACTCTAAAAACTAACACCAAGCCAGCTGACAATTCTCTTTAAATTATCATTTTTCTATACGGAGTACAAAACTTACATATACACCTGAGTTTAGATTGTGTGCATATATTTAAATGAAAAATGTACAAGCCAACAGTTCAGAGAATTAAGACAATGAATACAAAATGAATGTAATACAGACTTTTACATAAAATCTTGTGAATGTAAAATAAAAAATAGAAATAAATAAAATAAAAAAAAAAACAAAAAAAAACAACAATATGCTCAAGGTAACTGCCATATTTGATGACATAAATCTCTCCCCAATATAAAAAAATAACTGCGGATAATAATTTTTAGGTTAATTCTATGATTTTAAATAAACAAAACTTACAGTTACACCAGTGTTTCTCAAAGAAAAGGCATGTGGCTCCCAAGGGAT